GGCACCGGGGACGGGGGACACCGGGGATGCTGGGGGTAGGGACCACTGAGCACCAAGGACCACCAGCACCGGGGACACTGGGATGGGGACTGCCAGCACTGGGGACACTGGGAAGGGAAAGACTGGGAATGGGGCCACTGGCAGCAGGGATAGCGGGGATGGGGACAGCTGGGAACGGGGCCCGGGGCCAGCCCAGGCGGGGACAGCAGCCCCACAGCCGGTGGCGTGAGCCCCCCTGGGCAGCTACCGCAGGTCCCGGCTCACTGAGCCCCTCATCCCCGCAGGGCCCTCACCATGGCTGCAGCACAGCTCGTCACCTGGGGGCTGCTCCTGGCCACCGGGGTCCCCACTGGGGCCCGGGGGACACCAGTGGCGGGGCTGTCCCCATGGGGGACCCCGCAGCGGGGCAGGGTCCCCCTGCACGGCCTTGCCTGGGGACAGCAGCGGCCAGGCTCGTCCCCTGCCTGGGAGGCGTCGGGGGAGCCGAGCGGTGCCGGGGCCCCTGGGAGCGAGCGCTGGGGGGGTGGCAGCCCCAGGCACTGGTCCCCACCACCACAGGCCGGGGATGCCACCGGGGCACCCATGGGGATGGAAACCACCATGGCAGGCACTGGGACCAGAGCCTGGCAGGACAGCAGCGCAGCCCCGGCTGTGGCGGAGGAGCCCCTCATCACCTGGCGAGGACACGAGGCCGAAGGCCAGGACAGCCCCCACGGGGGAACCTGGTTGCCCCATGGCTCCACACTGGGGACGCCGGCCCCTGAGGCACCCACGGACACGGGGCCGGGCTCCCTGGGGCCGCCCTGGGCAGGGCAGGGCCCATCCCCAGCCAGGCAGAGTGCCACCGGGCCAGCCAGCACTCCTGGCCCTTGGCCGACCGTGTCCACCATCACCCTGACCCCCGTGCCAGCAGCGGCGACAGGGACGGGGACAGCAGACGCCCACGCAGGGGGAGAGCCAGTGGCAGGGGGACCCACGGCAGCCCTGGGCCTCCGTCAGGGCACACAGGTCCCTCTGGCCAGCAGCCAGCCCGTCCCGCTGGGCACTGTCCCCGTCCCCCGCTCCACGGGCACGGGGCCAGGGTTCCCCCCCCCGGCCCCGGCTCCCCGCAGCCGGTGGGCAGACGGAGGGACCTAGAGGAGCCCCCCAGCCCCTCCCCGGCCCTGCCCAGCTCTGCCGCACGGCTGCCCCCCGCAGCCCCGTCCTGGGGGCTGGCCGAGCCCTGGACCCGGGTGCTCCCAGCCCACCAGCGTAGCACCCGGAGAGCCCCACTCAGCCACGCCACCGCCAGCCCTGGGGACGCAGCCCCTCGCACAGACGCTGAGCCAACGGGGCAGCGGGGACCCCAGTCCACCCCAGGGGCTGCCATCGGCACCTCCAGCACGGCTCGCCCCGGCACCCCCAGCAAAGGTAGGAGCCGGCACAACGTGGGGGACCCCTCAGTGGGGACCAAGCTCCCATGGGTACCAGCAACCGGCTCTGCCCTCTCTTGCAGGGCTGCTGCCCAAGGAGGACGTTGGCTCCCCGCAGCGGGTCCGGGGCGCCGTGAGCGCCCCGAATGCCACCGAGGCTGCCCCACGGCCGACGGCACATCCCACCCCAGGGACGCCCGGGACCACGCGCTCAGGTGATGCAGGGCTGCGGCCGAGCCCATCCAGTCGGTTGCCAGTGCCCACCCAGTCGGTTGCCAGGGGGGATGCCGTGGGAGCCCACCCCCGGGGAGTCGGGGCTGGCGGGGGGGACAGCGGCTATCTTAGGCCGCCCAGCCAGGACGCAGTGACACCTTCAATCAGGATTGTGCCCGGCGACAGCCCTAATCTACCCCTAAGA